ATATACAAAAATAATTCAAACAAAACAGCAAATAATTTATTTCAGTATCAACAGCTGCCTTCTGTACCCTGATAATGGCTGAATGAAGTTTCTGCATGTAATTCCAACATCAAGAGCAGCATCAGGGTAACGTGTAGAAATAGAAGGTAAAATATTGTAACATATTCTTTGTAACAGGTAGAGTATGTCACAGAAAGCAGAGTGCATGGAGATAGAGATATCTGTAGTCACGTTGCCTGGATAATTTCATCAGAAATCACATATTTACTTAAACAGTTTTGAATGGTATTTATTTCTGCAGTCTGAATTTCACCCAGCGTGAAGAGATTTTTAAGCTTGGTTAACGTTGTTTTAGCAGCTTATGCTTCATCAAAACTATGGTTGTTGGTACTCGGAACTTCGGAGATTCGTGTTTTTGATGACATGATTCTGATAATAACAAAAAGTGTGTTTTCACTGGTGGAAGGGAGAAAACTTCTTTCTTTTTACATACAAGCGGATATATGTTTAATAGAGTTTACCTGAATGGGCTTCTTAGGAGAAAGGTTTTGCTCTTAAGAATACTGTTTGACTTTTCTCAGAAAAGTCTGTGTGGAAAGCTCCTCTCTATGGTTATTCCATATGAAAGCTCAATTCTATTGGAAGAGATTAAGCTCATTTAAACAAAAAGGGACACTGGAAATTGCAAGAAAAAAACCTTCTGAGAAATTGGCACCTCCAAGGAGTGGTAATTGCCCTTGATGGGTGTCTATAAAAGTCCTCTTTTCACAGAAACAGAACAAACTACCTGTCCAGTTTACTACTAAGAGCAAACTTCACAGTAAACATGTTTGGGATACTAAAAAAAATACTAATTCATAGTCTCTGTAACATCTGTCTAGAAAAAAAAAAAAAGTGTTATTTTTCAAATCTAGAAGAAATTTAAGGAATTGTGGAGAAAATAGGCATGGAAAATGAAAAGAAAGGGGCTAGATGGTGAATTAAAAGAAGCCTGTAGTGAATAAGCTAGTGAGGAAAACGATCTGGAAATAAGAATGAAGATTGAGCATATGGGAGTTGGGTGGGCAGAGCTGGAAGGGACGGGTGGCAGATGGGAAGCTTTTCTATCAGAACACGCGTGCCTTTACCCCAGTCTGCCTCCTCTTAAGCGATTTGAAGGTCTTCATCTGACTTCTCTCAGAGCTGAAAATCTTGAATTTTGTGAAAGCTGGCAGATGTCTCCCAAATATGTTATTGATATACCAGCTTTTAGCTTTTTAAAATTCTGTTTCCCCAGAGTTTGCCCAGGAAAAAAAGGCCATTGACTTTTTTTTTTTTTTTTTTTTAATCACATTAGTGTACTTTTATCTGGGCTTAACATAACAGTTTTATAATATTAACCACCTGATGACAGCCTGTTTTATATGATTAGGTAAAGATTTTACTGTTGTGGGTGAAGAACTTCTCATTGGTAGTGACGGCATAACTTTATGGGGCAACGAATTTTGAATAAGTGTCAATAAAGTGACGTGTCATTGTGAATTTTGCTACACCATATTTCAGTGATTTGTACTACCTCAGGGAGTTTTAGTTCTACAATCTGATATATAATTGCTCTTTTCTATCTAGGTAGTGTATTCTTGCATTATTAAATCCAGAGATCTCTTTATTAAGAGAATTCAAAATCCGTTTGGAAAACCTTTTATGTTCTTATGGTCAAATAGTAAAACTTTCATGAATCTCTGTATGACTCTGTACACTCATATTTTAAACATATCAGACAAACGTTTTTGATTTAGGGAAAGGCAGGATGTCTTCATACTGAATCTGTAAGTATGCTTTTAGTTGCTTGCCTTTTTTAGAACAAATTTGGTCAAAAAACTAAATCTTGGCAAAAGAAACTTATCTATAAGTGTGAAAGCTTATGCTATTAAAAAAGCAAGATACCACAAATCGTTCTGTATTTTCTTCTACAATACTTTGTAAATCATGCTTAGCACATTAATGTTGACTCTGATTTTTATCTCTGCATGGAACTTGGCTAGTACTCCATTTTTATTTTTTTCTTTCCTTAAACGGGTGTCTTTCTAAGTAATTAGATTCTTTCCTCAGGACATTTTTCATACTTCATGAGCATCTAGTCTATTGTAAAAACTATTTTCTCATGCTTTCGTTTTCAGAGGCAAATTATTAGAAAACCAGCTCTTGTTTAGATCCTAGATAGTAGAAACAAATCTATGGTGAAGACTATCTCTTTTATCCAGCGTAACATTATCAACTTCAGCGTCATTGTGTGGTGATTTAACTAGTTAGGTTCTAGACACAAGTGAAGGAAAAAAATGGGAATTCCTAAGCTGAACATGTTTTAAGATAAAATACTCTAAACTTGCATGATTGAATACAGCTCTTTGAGCTCAAAAGAACTGTAGTAATTTCCATACTACAGACTTTGCTCCAAGAGGTTTGTGTTAGGATATATGTGTTGCAATTGAACCATATCATTCATTAGCCTGGAAAGTGAAATAAACAGCTCAGTTACTCAGATGTTTAGATTCATAATATAACCTGGGTGTATAAGATATGACAATATGCATTAAAAAAAAAAACATTCACAATCAAATATTTGTAGGAATATTCAGTGATTTTTACCTGGAGTTTCCCTGGTATGTACTCCAGGCTCTAGCTTTAAATGTGAAAGAACACAATGAGAAATCAATGTTAGGCCAAATTTTTATGTATTTTTACAATTTAGTGGTAGTAAACAAAAGTTTGCTCAAAAGTTGGTTTAATATATTTAATGTTGTAATGCAAATATTTTGAGCGTGGAGCTTTACAGAGTTAAAATATCTTAGTTTAAACTATGTATTGTACACAAGAGGTTTGATCAGTTATCCTTTCTCTCCCAAGCAGGGACTCTGATCAGCAAATAACTACATGCACTGTACTGATTATAGTACCCACACATTTCAGACTGCATTATTGTTATCAAAATGGACACATTCTTGAAGAAATAAGAATGAGATAACAGATTTCTCCATCCTGCAGTGTGGAAAATCACTTCAGGCTTCATCTTGATTGGTGCAAAGGCAAACGATGCAATATCTTCATCTCTGGAAAGAGAAAATATTACTGTAGCATGCTGAGAAGCTTAGAGAGCAAAGATATCATTCAAGTGTCACTGTGTTTACTGGGATTCATGGCCTCGCAAAATGAGATAACATGATGGAATGTAAGTCATTAAATGTGTTCCCAAGGATGTGGAGCTCTTTCCTGCTTCTCATTATTCTTAATATTAATCATCTGCAGTAAATATTTTACCAATGACTATCTAAATTGAGAACAAGGACCGATCTGTGACATAGGAGAGACATTTACTGGCATACCATTAGGTGGTGTTACTTGCTTTCGTTGTGCAAGTGGATGCAGTAAGGTGGGTTTGGGCAGTAAATGCTTTGCCACACTTGGGAGTGCTCAGCCAGGCATAGCTGTTGGGGTGGCCCCGATGACGCATTTACACTGCCGTGCAACTGCTCCTTGCCCAAAGCAGGTTGGCAGGCAGATGCAAGGAGGGCAGCCTGTTTTTTGCTTCAGCTGTCCACATTATTGGATTCTTGTTTTCACAAAGAGACAATTACAGCAGAGATTGCTTTAAGATGATTAGCACCAAATTTCCTCCTTGTAACAGCAGAAATTTAATTAAGCAAGAACCAGCAGCCTAGCTTCCTCTCTCCCTGTAAGTTACTGTTAGGCTAAGATAAGATGCTCTTCACAAATGCTTTAGGAAGGTGGAAACTGCTGCTGTGCTCCATCAGCAGTGCTAAATATTGGCTCAACCATAGAGGCTTCTCTTCCCAACTCAAGATGAAGATTGCAGGTTTTCACTTTTTTATATTTTTAGTGTTCGTGAAAAACTCATTGAGTTAACTGCGTGGTTGTTTTCTTCATTCCGCTCACTTGAAGGTCATTGGATTTCTAAAAATTAATTATAATTTTTAATGTCTATTATTATACAATCTCCACATATATATTTTAACCTCTGTATATTACGTTATCTGCAGTTATTAACCTCTGTTAGAATCTAGCATTCTATCTCAAACACCCAGGCTCTTAGGTCCAATACATGGCAAAGACAGGTCCTGATTCACACTTGGAGGGTGTTCTGACTGGACCAACTTAGAAGACTGTGTCAGTGTTTTTTCCTGTATTTGCTATAGTGTATACTCTGGTTTTGGCTTTTCACATATGAAAACTTAGTCATCTGATTCATGGGAGTAGAGACAAAGAAGTGAAGGGTAAGGTAAATAAACAACTTAGCAATACAGTAGGTAGTAATGCTTGCTATTCTCTATAGATGCTGAGGAATAATGAGCTCATTGGCATGGGCTAACACTTGGGATGGATTTTCCAGGTGTTCTTTGTTACTATCACAATCAGAATTTTTCCTAAATAAATTCATAAAAAGATTTGAAGTAATCTCTAAAAACTACAACACCATCTCTCTTGCATTAGAAGGAGGAAGGAGAATGTGGCTTTCCCTGGCTTGCAGTGCTCTATTCCTCACCCTTTTTTTCTTGTATCACTATGATGTGTGATCAGACTACTGCAATATTAAAATTAGTTCATGTCAGCTCTTCCAGCTAGCTCTAATTATGGTTTTAATCAGTGTTTACAACACATGCAGCCATCAAACTCTTATTTATATGCATAGAAGTCATTCTGATTCATTACCAAACAGACTTGAGGTTATCACCTACTATAGTCAGGCTTAAATTTTGACGCAGGCTGTCATTTTACTAAACATTAAGTTATTAAATGAAAGTATAATATGACAACGTGACAAATAAAGTCTCCCGAATATTAAGTTTTTCCACTTGATGCAATTTTAAATAATTAAATAACTTTTGGTCAAATCTTTCATCCCAAATCTTAAGTTCAGAACTTCATCAGGGGAGATGTTCATACCACCTGAGGCACTTATACAACCACTGTACCCTGTCTAAAACATTATCTTTCTTTTTCAGGTAGGTCAGGATTGAAACCCATCAGGCTTTACCCAGATACAACAGTGGATAATCAGATGTGAAGACAAATGTAGCTGAACACAATTATTGCTACTCTTGTGTGCAGGGGTCAGAAACATGACCAGAAGTTGGCTAAATAGGGACTCTAAAGTGTGTATATCAGTATGTAACATTCTGAAACAACTTCTTTTAAAATCTTTTTGACAGTAAGACTACAAGAAATGTTTTTACTGTCAAAAAATGTTGTTTTTTTTTTTAAGGAGTTGCTATTGTCAAGCAATTTTCATGGTTTCAGTTCTGTTTTCAGTAGAGAGATCATTAGACAGATGGATGTTCCCATGCTTTATGGCAGTCTGCTAAATTACTTTTAAAATCTTGAATATAAACAGCATTAACATATGCTCAAAAATGCCTCAAGGTTAACAAATGCTTAAGAGCTTGTGCCAGTTCAGATGAGTTTGTAATGGATCTTCAGAGCAAGCAATGGATTCTAAGACCATGTATCAGCTACTAAGAAATGCAAGACAGATAATTATTTGGTTTGCAAATATTCCTTGACAGAAAAGCTACAGCTTAGCAGTGCAAATAAATCCATGAAAACAAAAGAAAATTATCTCCTTCACAAAGAAGACTATTTAGTGTTCAGTTCAAAAAAAGGCTTCTGTTACTTATCTAAGTCTGGAATAGAGCTGACTGTTACAATAATATATGTAAAGCAGCAATGTAACGTATTCAGAGATTTCTCAATCCTCCAGGCTTGACTAGAGTTTAAGATCATGGTTTTTTTTTGATTGATAGTCAGATTTAGATTTTTCTGAGCTTAGCTTTCCTCTTATAACTAGAGTTATATTCCTGAAAAAATGTTGTCTAAAGAAAAGTGTCAAGCTTCACATATCCTTCCAAAAAGACAGAGGAGAAGCAAAAAACAGCAAAGACATTGCTGATACACTATAAATTCAATGTCATCTTACAACGTACTGGGCCAAAGAAGTCTATTTAAACCATCTCAGTAAAGCTTGCTTATCAGAGTAATCCCTTCTTGCCTGTACTCATTAAAGTCGAGGTCAACTGAAGTCTTCTGAGGGAGACTTTGATCTATTTTATGTGCTTTGGAAGAAAACCGTAACTCATTAACAACATCATGGTTTTTAACAGCATTGAGGCCTTAAAATACAGGCAATAAAATATAGAAATAGAAAAAGACAAAACCAAGAACTGTGTAATGGCCTGAAAATATGTATTGCTGTTGATTACTGTTAACAGTGTGTACTACTGTGTTGTACAGAGCGCTCTGTAAGGAATGAAACAATCTGTCATCTGAGCTATAAAATCTAGTTATAGTTTCAGTTAAATTAATTTATGGCTGTAATCAAGCCTGTTAATTGGTCAGCATGGAACATAAGGAACAGCAACACCTCTGCACTTGAGTCATGTTGTTATTATAGAGAATTTAATTTTAGTGTAACAATAAGTATGAAATTATTCACTGACAATGAAGGTAAATATAACAATGCAGGGTTCCTTGTACAAATGGATCCCAAAACCGTGTTGCCAATTTATCATTTTGATTATGCAGACTATTTAGCTTGCAGCACAAAATTATAGCATAAGTCTAGATTTATCATTGTTCCACTCATGTATTTTTCAGGCCTCGTATTACAATCATTTATGTGCGTGCAATTTTATATCCCGAGCACTGTAAATGACACAATGAAGGGAAGGGATGCCACCCACAAAGACCTGGACAGGTTTGAGATGTGGACCTCTGAAAACCTCATGAAGTTCAACAAGGCCAAGTCCAAGGTCTTGCACCTCAGTCAGGGAAACCCTAAGCACAAACACAGACTGAGAAGAGAATGGATGGAGAAGAGACTGGGGTTGTTGATAGATAAAAAATTCAATGTTAGCCTGATTTTGGATGACAGGCCAACAATGTGACTCACCACCCAGAAAGCCAAGTAGATTCTGAGCTGCTTCAAAAGAATTGTAGTCAGCAGATTGAGGAGCAAGGTTGTCGCCTCTGCTCTGCTGTTGTGAGACCACAGCTGCAGTGCTACCATCAATTCTGGGGCCCCCAGCATAAGAAAGACACAGACCTGGGCTAGTCAAATAAAGTTTTAACTATTTCACACAGTTACCACAAGGGTATGATAAACACACGCATCTATGTTATGGAGACCAACAGGGGTGAACTTCTAACTATCACAGTAATTCACCTCCTGGAAGTACAGAGATGCTGGGAGGCGTTTTTGCTGGGCAGTGTTGCAGGTTACAAGCTAAATGCTTACAGCAGGCTGCAGAAGGGTGAAGAGAAAGAGGAAGGTCAAAAAGCACAGGGATAGAGGAAAGTTTTGCTATTGATTGCTTAGACTTTAGACACAAAGAGGACCACTATCTTTTGTTGTAGTCTATGGATATATTTACAACAACAGGCTGGGGTTTCTATTCATTCATTCTTTTCTTATATGATCCTGAGCTTTGCCCAGGAGGAGAAATACAAAGGTCTTTCCCCTTAAGTATTTAATAATCATGTGTGTAAATATTTATAGGAGTATCTCTACAGTGCTACATCATCACTCATAAACTGTCTGTATGCAAGGCCTTCAAGCCCTTACTGAGAAACCAATGCCATATGTCACAAGAGAACTCTCATTTTTCCTTCTGCCTCCTCTCTTTTTCTGAGATAAACTCAGGAGGAAAAAACAATTATAATAATTTAGAAAGCCCCACAAACACAGCAGGAGAAGGACATTACTTTGATTAGGTTCACCTACTCTGCTCCTCACCTGAATGAATAACACCCACTCCTCCACACCAATTTGCATATAGGAGTGACCTGGGTAGCCAGGTGGGAATGTTGTTCTCCTGAAAATGAGGGATGTGGTTTCTGTAGGGAGATGGTGTCGGTTCTGCTGACCAAGTCTTGTCAAAATTGACTGATGGACGTTGGCAAAAAGTGAGTAAACCTATGCAATAACACAGCTGTGGGGCAAAAAAATGGTCAAGGACTGTAAGCAGTAGATCCAGGGGCCTCCCTTAAGCATGATTGTTGGAAGAGGGCAAAAGTGAGCTTTTCTTGCCTTTAGTCTGTATTTTAGCATCTGAAAATGTCTGTTTTCATTGGATTTCTGAAGCAGGTTACAAGTAGAAAACAAGGTAAAAGGTACTTATGTATTGCTATTCATACTTTGTAGTATGCTGTTATGAATTATTAACTGTGCTGTATAGGAACACAAATAGAATTAGGAATAATGTTGTGGAAGAGATTAAGAAATAGTTCAATCCAAGCAAATTAAAAAAAATAATAATTGTTAATGCTTTTTCCCATACATATCCAAATACATACTCCTACTCTTTGTGGTCTGTGGCAGTTGATGTTTTCTTACTCTGGCTTATTTTCTGATACTATTACCTATGGTGTTCTCTGCCTGATAACAGGATGTGTCTGCCTGGGATGGAGGTGAATAAGCTCTCAGTTTTGTTTAACTTCAAATAAATTTTTTGTTTAAAAAAATATATATACTTTTAAAGGAAACAGGTCACACTTAAGAGAGATAAGCCCACACTGGTATTTTTGTGAGAAGTTTTAAGATGCTTATGATTACAAATTAATGTTGACAGTATTGTGACTTCACAGATGGTGCACCAGAAATTAAAGTTGATGTGATCAGAGAGTTAAATATAATTCTAGAACAAACAAATAAAGTTGAAATAGAGGCTTTCAGAACTAGAATCCTAGATGTTATATTGATATGCTCTGTTACTGTTACATATATACTCTCTGTCTCAAATTAACATGAAGATTAATTTGGCAAACTAGCATTTTTAAAGAGATTTCCCAGGATATTCTCCCATCTCCCAGCCTCTTGAGACACATTTTTAATCAACGCCCAGTATTTAATATCTCTGCAATGTCATTGTCCTCCTATTGGATACTACAGTTTAGAACCAGTCAAAATATTAAATATGCCATAAAACTGCCACTGGATTATATTATACAGTGGTGCTATGGATGCTGCTGCATTATATTCTAATAGTGGCCGCTTTCAGACATGCCTTTTACTGAGCTTTTCTGTCTGAGAACAGGGTGCAGAGTTAAGTACTATAGAATTTCTCTGTCACAAATGTGACTCATTTTCTGTACATAAAATAAGTCTGTTTTCAGGCATAAAAATTGAATGAAACAGAGAAATTTCCTCCTCAGCTTACATGCATTAGGTTGTGGTCATATTCAACATCTGCAGGCTGAATTTCCCAAATGCTTTCTTTGAAAGTGTCTTCGCACTGATAAATTGATGTTGTATTTACATTTAGATTAGATTAGGTCATTATGATTAGAATAATACTCTTCACTGATTCAATTTTGAGCCTTTGTTTTCTAGATGAAGATTATTTTCCTGGCAAGCACATTGGAGGAGTTCATAATTTGACTCAGAAGTATATACTGCCTTTGTTCCCATCAGGGAAAGGCAGAAAACTGCCCTTTGCTTTAACTTCATCTGTTTTCAAATCAGATCTCTAGTGGTAGGGGGGCCCTCCGAAAAACTCGGAAACCCTTGGTCATGGCAATTTTTGGGCTGCTTTAGATGGCAATCAGCAATATATTCATTCACACTAGTATTACATTCTGTTTTGGAATCCCACATTTATTTTCAAATAACCTTTTCAGCTATGTGTGATAAAATAATTTTCAAGTGAATAAATGCTAGACGTGCTACACCTCAGCCATAGCGAACTGCCAGACATGTAGTTTGGAAGAAAATTAAACGTGTCAGGACTTCTCTTGAAGGTCTTCAAACAATTGAGAAGACAGGCCAATTCAAACATCTCTGTATATCTTTTAATAACATACACTTTATTGCTGCACTTACAAAAGGTTGATCAGTAGATCTATAAGCAATTCTTTGATGCCATCTGATTCTCACAATTAACTGAATATTCCCAGTTGATCTAGTCATAATCTAATTCATAATAAATATATGCATGTTTTAAATGGTTACTTCCTTGGAATAATTTATAATGGAAATCATCAAGCAGCCAGTGGTTAATTATCATATAATTTACTATTTATGGA